TCTTTCTAATGTACTCATGTCAACATAATGAAACTGGGTAATCTTGAGACCCCCCCATTATTGCCAAGGAGAGGGATGCATTCACAATATGTCCCATGTGTGTCCCAGTATTTGAAACATATTAAATTAGCTGTATTTAAAACAATTTACAATGTGACAATTTTTTTAAAAATTCTTGCCTGAGGATATGTTTTTATTGATTTTAGAGAGGGAGGGAAGGGGGAGAGAGAGAGAAACATCGATCAATTATTTCCCAATCATGCCCCAATGGATTGAATCTGAAATCTAGGTAAGTGCCCTAACCAGGAATCGAATCCACTACCTTTCAGTACAGGAGATGATGCTCCAACCAACTGAGCCACCTGGCCAGGGCACAATGTGACAATATTTAAATATGTGATTGCATGAGATAGATACTAAGCTCTCAGCAATTACAGAGGGCATTTTCATAACACACTAATCCAAAAAGAGTATTTGAAATACACTACTCTGTCAATTGTTTCTTTATGAAAATGAAATAGTGGCAGACACAGAATTCAGCATACATAGTAGTTTCTGTTTGCATTACACACATATCTAATAATGCATATTATATAAGCACACTGTTAATATAGGATTATTTTTCCACTATGATACTAGAAAATGGCACTCATATATGGAATTTAATGAACAAACAGAATTGCCAAGCAAAATAGAGGCAAACTCATAGATAGAGAGCAGGCAGACAGCTCTGGTCAGGGGGCTTGGAGGGGAGTGATTAAGAGAGAGAGAGAGAGAGAGAGAGAGAGAGAGAGAGAGAGAGAGAGAAGTAATAGACATGGACAATAGTGTGGTGATTGTGGAGATGGGGGTGCAGGTGGAAGAGAGCATAGAAGGGGTAAATGGTGATGGAAAAAATAAAATACTACCAAAATAAAATCTATACACCATAACCACCTTCTTTCTTCTAGATATGGGATACTTGCAAAATGCTTAACATCCATTTATGATTTAAGCTTTAATGGCTCCAAAGGAATCATTTCAATGTGTAATATGCAAGCATTAAAAAATAATTTGCAAGATGCATCATCAGTAATTGCTTTATGCCATCAATTGGAGCTTATGTATTACTTTTTATAATGCCACGACATTAAAAGTTTTAAATGTTTATAAAGATATATGTATATTTTTCAAAACTTTTCTAAGGTAGAATGTTATTGATGCAAAGAATAGTGTCAGATAATAAGGTAAAGCATGTTACTTTAACTTGCTCCAGATTTCCAACACCAATAGCTTTCCGTCTTACTTGAGGTCACACCCAACCCATCTTTATTACATCTCTGACCTCCACACCTGCTCTCCTTTCCTTCTTCCTCACTCATGGACCTCCTCCTAAACCTGAATGATACCAACAATACTCCAGAGTTAGAATATTTGTATTTGCATCCCTCTGTCTGGAATCCTTTTCCCCAGTCACATGACTTGCTTAATAATGACCTTATTTATCTAAATGTGACATTTCCTCTGTGTTTAAAAATGCAATCCCCATACACATGGTCTATTCTTCCCTTCCCTGATTTAGTTTTGTCTTCACCATGATCACTTGCTAACTAACTAACTAACTAACTAACTATACACACACACACACATACACACACACACACACACACATATATATATATACACACACACACACATATATACATATAAAACTGTAATTTTTGGCTTATTATGTTTTGCCCCTCTAAAACATAAGAATGTAAGCTACAAAAAATTTATGAATGCTTTTCACTCTGTGGTTTCCCCAGTGCCTACATCCATATCTGTTATAAAGTAGGGACTCAATAATAAATGAACGAGTGGGCTCTAAAACAAACATAGATAACCCTTGAACACAAAGGGTTTGAAGCTGGCGGGTTCACTTATATGTGGAAGTTTTTTCAACAAATGCTAAAACAGTATTTTCTCTTATAAATGACAATCAGTTTGGTGTCAGAATCGTGTCAGAAATGACAGAATTGCCCTAACCCGTTTGGCTCAGTGGATAGAGCATCGGCCTGCGGACTCAAAGGTCCCAGGTTCAATTCCAGTCAAGGGCATGTACCTTGGTTGCAGGCACATCCCCAGTGGGGAGTGTGCAGGAGGCAGCTGATCAAAGTTTCTCTCTCATCGATGTTTCTAGCTCTCTGTCCCTCTTTATCTCTGTAAAAAATCAATAAAATATATTTAAAAGAAAAAACGAAATGACAGAATTACTCAAATATATTATAGCTGCTTTGCTGTATTTTCTTTTCTATAGCTTACTTTATTGTAAGAATCCTATATAATAAAAGGCTAATATGCAAATCGACTAAATGGCGGAATGACCGGTTGCTATGATGTGCACTGACCACCAGGGGGCAGATGTTCAATGCAGGAGCTGCCCCCTGGTGGTCAGTGTGCTCCCACAAGGGGAGCACTGCTCCACCAGAAGCCGGGCTCATGGCCAGCAGGCACAGCGGCGGTGGCAGGAGCCTCTCTCGCCTCCGTGGCAGTGCCTGCTTAGGCCCACTCCCCGTTGCAAGAGGGTGCAGGCCGGCTGAGGGACCCCCTCAAGTACACAAATTTCATGCACTGGGCCTCTTGTACAGCATAAAATCCATATAACATACAGCATATATGTTAATCAATTGTCTATATTTAATAAGTAAGGCTTCTGGTCAACAGTAGGCTATTAATAGTTAAGTTTTGGGAGTGTCAAAAGTTATACACAGATTTTTGACTGCACAGGGGTTAACAACCCTCACCCCCATTCTGTTCAAGGGTCAGCTGTGTAAAGAAGATGGTGCACAGTGGGTAGATACTTAAATGTGTGCAGGGAGGGGAAGTTTAGGGTCAAAAAGACCAAAATATTAGAAACTCATCAATATTAACAAATGGAGTAATGTCATTACAGTTATTGACAGAGAACATAAATGAATGACCATTTTTTTACCTGCTTAATGTTTCCCTTTATGAACTTTATTTTGTGTATATCAAAAAAGGGACCATTATCCTTTGGAAAAGGGTACGATTAGAATGCTATTCCATCACGAGTTAAAGAAAGAGAGTTCTGAAGTATTGCTACAGGGCAAGGTAAATGGTAAGGATTTTAAAAAGAGGGGGGGATAGAACTTAAGATTCAGGGATTCTATGTCAAAGTCTGATTGTAACCTAATTTAATTAATGGATCTTTAATTAGGTGGAGGTAAATCTGCAGGCCTGGATATAAATGACAATCAGTTTGGTGTCAGAATCGTGTCAGAAATGACAGAATTGCCCTAACCCGTTTGGCTCAGTGGATAGAGCATCGGCCTGCGGACTCAAAGGTCCCAGGTTCAATTCCAGTCAAGGGCATGTACCTTGGTTGCAGGCACATCCCCAGTGGGGAGTGTGCAGGAGGCAGCTGATCAAAGTTTCTCTCTCATCGATGTTTCTAGCTCTCTGTCCCTCTTTATCTCTGTAAAAAATCAATAAAATATATTTAAAAGAAAAAACGAAATGACAGAATTACTCAAATATATTATAGCTGCTTTGCTGTATCAGAGGAGCTAAAGGAAGGCAAATCTGATCAGGCCAAAGGTAAAACTGGAAATATCATTATATAGAGAATAAATTAATGTAGGAGGCACCGTAACAGGATTTGTTTCTATTGATTTAAGAGCAGCTGGAAAGTGTTCAATGCAGAGACCTGTTGTTACAGATAAAGGGAAATTATTGCTTGGTGGAGTCTAAGAGGTGGCCTCCTAGAATCTGCTCAGATCATCATAGCAGAGCAGAACTGGAATCAAAGTGATTTTTAAAAGTTCCTACATCAAGTATTTGTATCCTATTTTTTTTTGTAAACTCGTTCTTCTATGCAACTAATATTTTTGAAGGCCCCGTATATGCCTATCGCCGTTCTAAGCACCTTGCATACACCATTGAGAACAATCCCTGCTTTCTTTCCATCTCATGTGAGGAGACAGATGTAAAAAATAATTAAAATGTGGAGAAAAACAAAGTGGATGGGGAGATGGAAGGCAGCTGTGAGTGGGGCGTGGGCATGGGGCGTGGGGTGGGGATGGGCGGGACTCAGCAAAGGAAAGGTTAGCCTTGGAGCAAAGACAGGAGAAGACAGAAAGGCTCCAGGAGGGACCTGCCTGACGTGTTGGAGGAGTGCGCGGAGGTCAGTGTGGCAGGAACCCAATGAGCCAGGGGCAGATTAGCAGGGCCTGAGGGAGAAGCGACAAGGAGGACAAGGAGGGCTGGGATTATCGAGGGCCTTCAGCCATTTTAAGACCTAGACTTTTACTCCGAACAAAACCAGGTGCCAGGGGAGGGCTTTGAGCCGAGTATCAGAATCATGGCCACATAGCGATGCTTCCCATTCAGACATACACTGGTTTTAATTTAGCCACATCATTCTTACATCTGCTTCTCCTCTTCACACACTGAAATGTTCAGGGTTCAGAAGCCCAAGATAATTTCTCATGCGCATTATCTCACCTGTAGAGCATTTCAATACCCGAGAATGCAGTGTCTAATTTCACCCAAAAGGTCAGGTTGGGGAGAACATTAGTTGACAAGATGAGGAGGAAGATTCTGCACGTACAGGATCCAGAGACTTAAGAGAATGGAGGTAATTTAGGAAGGAGCAGAATGCTGTTCTGCTGGAGGAGTGATGGGCCCGAGTCAGGAGGAGTGGGAACACAGTGGGCCTCACTTTCCATGCTGGTGACATCAGAGCATCCGCCAGGTACTCAGGCTATTTGTTTTCACTTGCAGGATATATCTTGTGTTTGTTTTTCTTTTTTAAAAAAAATTCCTTTTCTACTTTGTTCATGTAAACAGAACTTAGGTATGAGAAAAGGGTAGTGGTCACTTTAAGAATTACTCTACTTAACTCTGTCTACATCAGCTCCTGGAAAATACCAGTGAAAGTGTAGCTCAATTATTTTCTGGCATTGGAGGGAGCATTTGCATACTAATGACCCATTGCTGTGGCATTTTTCTCCCCACAGAGGACAAAGTGTGGACCATCGTGTCTCACGATCTACAGATGCAGACCACGGTGGTGGGCTACACCCCAGAGAAGTACTCGGTGACCCAGCTCGTGTACAGCGCCTCCATGGACCAGATCAGCGCCATCACCAGCAGCGCCGAGCACTGCGAGCAGTACATCTCCTACTTCTGCAAGATGTCCAGGTTGTTGAACACCCCAGGTAGGCTGCCCGTGGAATGTTACTTTTAATTATGGTCTCAGCTGGTGCTTTGAATTGCCCAAACAATCCAACAGGTGTGGCTTGCTAGCATAGAGCCCAGAGTGGAGAATGCTGGCTGCTGTGAGAAAGTAAAATAGAATGATGGTCTGTGTTTCCAAAGGATATACTGGAAATATCTTTACCCCAAAAGCCATCTGTTCTGGGGTTCTTGGCAGACAATTGAACATGTTGATAGGAAAGTCAATGCCCCCAACTATAGTGTAAGAGTGGGAATAAAGGATGCGCTGGGATTCAGAGAAACAGTGGCTGGCTCCGCCTTGCTCTCCCCAGGTGTGTGACTTTAGGGGAGTTCATTGAATTCATTCCTTAGTGCCCAACGTCTTTTCAGTCAAATAGGAATCATGATGCTTATTTCAGGGTAATTGTGAGGATCTAATGAGGTTATGTACTATTTATTATAGGGTTTGATGCACTTAAGGACTTAATAAATAGCAAATAGTATATTGATTTTTTTTTTAATATTAAGCAATTTTGGAAGTGTCATTATGTCAGAGACCAATGGACTAATCAATGGCTAAAATCATGTTGTATCAGAGCTGGTGTTGTAAGGAGTAACTTACAGAGAAGAAGAATAAGCAAAACAGTACACAATATTATGAAGACTTGAGTGTTCTTTATGTCCAAAGTCTAGTGCTAAAATTACAGATGAGTGTAATCTATGAACTCCAGAAAAGTAAAATAGGAAGACAATTGGTTTAGGCAGTTAGAGCATCCGCTGTTGGGAGAAAGAGAGGATTGTGGCAGAAAGGCTCAAGGCTGGTGAAATAGCATAAGCAAAAGTCTAGAAGAGAGAACATGAATGACCTTAGGCCATTCTGGGAGCAAAAGCAGAGTTGGTGTTGAAGAGCAGTAGGAAACTGGTTGGAGAGAAGAACTGGAGGACACAGATGCCATGCCGTGGAGTTGGGATTTCTCCTGAAGGCCAGGGCTTCTCAGAATGTCATGTGCCTTAGAATAACCTCCAGAGGCGAATAAAACGGACTGCTAGGCCCCCTTCCTGAGTCTCTGATTCCGCAGGTCTGAGGAGTGACTTGTGAATTTGCATAGGTAATGCATCCTATGGACTGGATTGTGCCCCCTCCTAATTCACAGGTTGAGGTCCTAATACCCAATGTCAATAAGAGATAGAGCTTTTCGGAGAAAATTAGACATGAGGTCTTAAGTCTGGTTTCCTGATCTGATTGGATCGGTGGCCTTTTTTTTTTAAAAAATATATATTTTATTGATTTTTTAGAGAGAGGAAGGGAGAGGGATAGAGAGTTAGAAACATCGATGAAAGAGGAACATCGATCAACTGCCTCCTGCACATCTCCCACTGGGGATGTGCCCGCAACCCAGGTACATGCCCTTAACTGGAATCGAACCCGGGACCTTTCAGTCCGCAGGCCAACGCTCTATCCACTGAGCCAAACCGGTTTCGGCGGATCGGTGGCCTTTTAAAAAGGGGAACAGTGAGCTCTTTCTCTCTTCATCATGTGAGGACATTATGAGAAGGCCGGGAAGAGAGCTGTCATTAGAAATCAAACTGGCCAGCACCTTGGTCTTGGACTTCCAGCCCCCAGACCTGTGAGAAAATAAATATCTTGTTTAAGCCAGAGCCTGTGAGGTTTTGTTATGGCAGCCCAAGCGGACTGATAACAGTGAGTTCCCGAGTGATGCTGACATTGCTGGGTGAGAGACTGCTTTTTGATCCTGTTTCCAGTGCTAAGAAAAGTCAACCAAGGACTGTAAAAATCAAGGCACAATGAATGAATCTCATCAGCTTGTCTGCACTCAGTTTTATGAGTGAGGGCTCCTTATTGAAGTTTATTCCAAGATTTCCATCAGTTGGTCTCCAGTTCTGGGGTGAGGATGAGGATAAGGGGAAATTGCTGAAGAGAAAAATAACTTGGTACCATCCGCTTTATTTTCTCCCCTTCTATTAAACTCCAAAGTGAACTTTGACTTTTTCAATTTTGTTTTGGTGGTTAAAAAAAACAACACACACAATGCAACTTCCAAATGAGTTTAACTTACAGTTCAGACACCAGGGGAATGAGGTTGGAGGTAAGAAAAGCAATTTGCCTTTAGTGCTTTGGTCTTGCAGTTCATTCCTCTCTTCCCTCGTTGAGACCCTCTGTCCTTGCCCCCAGCCACCAAGCAGCCTCACTCACTATCACCCTCCTTTTCAAAACACAGGGCATCCCGAACATCAGAAGAATAGGATAAATTTGATTTTAAACAATGTTTTACTTACATTTCTAATAATAAGCTAAATACAACTTCAGCTTCAAGACACCTTTTCTGAGGAAGAACTACTAAACTGAAATTAAGAGTTAGTTGTTAACAATAACGATTTTTTAAAAAGAGTGAATTGTTCATCTGAACAATAAACACACTATGTTCTTTGTGTTTTCAGATATGTGTAGGTTATTACTCTACTTAATGAATTGACCTTGACAATCAATTTATCATATGCTTCTTGCCTTTTGGTACTTGCCTCTAAGTATCAAATTTTCACCCACATTGGTACTTAATATTTACTGATTGGAACGAAATGAAAAATATATAGTTTTAAATGTTGCTTCATCCAAACTTCAGGCAGTTGTTTTTATTATTACTATTTCTTAAATCCTCACTGGAGGATATGATTATTGATTTGAGAGAGAAAAGAGAAACATCATTGTGAGAGAGAAACATTGATCAGTTGTCTCCCTGAGGTGCCTCGATCTGGATCGAACCTGAAACCTTTTAGTGTATGGGACGATGCTCCAACCAACTGAGCCACCTGGCCTGGGCCAGGCAGTTGTTTTTAAACAAGTATGTACATCAGAATTTTTAGGTAGCTTTTCAAAAGTGCTGATTGCCCAAACTGATTTGATAGTACTTGGTTGGGCCCATGAATGTTTGCTTTCAACAAACATCCCTGGGTAATTCTCTGCAGGACATTAACAAACCATCTTTCATTTCTGCCCTGAAGGTTTCTTAGGTAAGATTTTAAGGTGTCAGTCCTCCATGTGGGAGAAGATTAAAGGGAATATTAGGACATGTCTGACCCATTGAAATAAAATGTCATACATAATTATCTGCTCCTTCAGCTAAAATAAATTGGCATAGTAGTACTTTTTAAATCTTTTTCATAGACCAGTCTCTAAATATTGTAAAGTGAATTTCAGCCTGCCCTTCTGAGTCATTTTTTCACATTTTCAATTTTTGTGTTCCAGGCTCACTAATCTGTAGAATAGCTGAGGCAAGAAAAAGGATTGGTTGATATAGCAGGCTTTCTTGTGTTGTTGTGTTCTGTATATCCTATATAATAAAAGCCTAATATGCTAAGTGCCTGGTCGTTCAAGCAATCAAAGTGTAATGTGCTAATTTTATGCTAAGGCTGCTCAACTGCTTGCTATGACTTTCACTGATGACCAGGGGCAGATGCTCCGACCAATAGGTTAGCTTGGTACTGGGGTCTGGCTGATCAGGACTGAGTGAAACAGGCTGGACATGCCCTGGAGCCCTCCTGCAGTCCCTCCCTGGCTGGCCAACCTCCTGCATCCCTCCCCGGCCCCGATTGTGCACCAGTGGAGTCCCTCGGCCTGGCCTGCGACCTCTCACAATCTGGGCTTAGGGTCCTCCCCCCCTAGGGCACGAATTTCATGCACTGGGCCTCTAGTGTCCAAATAAGAAAGAACACAATTTAATAAAAATCTTTAATTTGCTCTTTTAGGGAGCTGATGTTGTTATAATTGTTTTTCCCCTATTCCTGGTAACATTCAATTTTAAATATCCATTTACTCATTCTTAACTAAGACTGAATTATATTGCAACTTCTGTAGTAGTACTTGTGACATCTGTTGGAATACAAAGCACATTCATTATAGTCGTGGCAATTAAAATGAATATCAAATGAGTTTATAATAGCTACGCATTAAAAATGTTATTTTTTTTCTAAGAGTCTTACTCAAAGACTGCAGTTGGGACTCTATAGTTTCTAATGATATTTATGATAAAGAGTTGATTTTGTATGCATATGGACTCTTTTATTTTGATAGATGTTTGGTTGTGCCATACCATTAGCTAACAAATGTAGAATTACTCATTATTGATTTCTCACAACTTTTAAAAGGATAGTAATATATGACTTGCAATGTTATATCTTCTTTTTATCACCACAAAATTTAAAAATGGAATCAATTTTAAGGTAATTCTTGGTCATATCTGTTTCTGCAATGTAGCTATTAGTTCAGTTGTCCTTAACCAACTTTATAGAAACAATACAAAACTATTTTCTTTCACAGAAGAGTCTATTTGGAATGAGAAATACTAATTTGAGAATGGAGAAATTAATTCTACCCACATTAATGCTATCTAAAACCCACAAAAAAGTTAGTATATCATATTTATATTCCAGGAATTACAAATGTAATAATATCTGAAGTGATGAAAGGTAAGAATCATTAAACTATGAAATCTACTTCTGAAATAAAAACCCAAGAATTTGAATTTGATAAATTAGCCACCAAGAGAGTTTCATTAGATCCCATTTGAGTGAAGTCTTAGTCAATAATCCTAATGCTTTTAGATGGCCAACATATTTCTCTGTATCTCAACAAGTCCCACACCTGCTTTAAAATGCTATGTGTGTACCTTAAATGCACTGAGTCATGTATTCATTTTACAAATCATTACTACTTAAGAATTTCCTACTGAAGTACTTTTTCCCGACATATGCAAAGATTTATTTCATTGTGGAGGTATAAAATTTCTATCTTCTATTTTCTGATGATATTTACTATTGTTTTCATTGTTTTACAGTGTCTCATTTCTTTTAATTTCTCAAAATAATCTAGTTCTCATCAGTCATAGTTTTATTGCTTCTTTTGTTGAAAGAAGCAATATAAATTATCCATCCTTTTGGGTGGTTTATTATTAGATTTTGTATCTATTGAAAAAGAGTTATGTTC